CACCATTGATACCAGTGTTGGTATTCAGTGAGGCGAGAAGTTGATAAAGGTTGAGTACAATTGTAATGTGGTTTCCTTAAGGCACAACCTTAGATTCAAATATAAGCAATTCTGTGGCACCACCATTGAAATTCAAAACACACAACTGGGACATGATAGACTGACACAGATTTTGACAAACATAAAAGGACAGTGGGCTCCTATAAATCTAGATTATTACTGCAACTATATACTGTATATATAATATTTATACACAGGAACTGTACTTTAAAAAACTGTTGCTGTTCGGGGCATGAGGTGTTTATCTTCATTTGTTGAAGTAGTGACCCCCATACACCCAGCAAGTGAGGCTTTAAATAGACTCACTCACACACTGACAGAATACCTCATCCACAAAAATCCTCCCACATGGTTCGGTTCATGACATCTGAGGCTGACGGAGAGCATGCAGGAACCTAAGCTCTCTGACCAAAAGTCAGTGTTGCACAGACAGAGGTATGGGTGGCATGCTGACCAAGGGGCAGAGACGCTCACAAATAACCACAAGTCACATTTAGAAATACAGATAAAACATGTACTTCATATAAGGCGAACTATTAAAACTGTATGCATTTATAAATCATTTCACTTTTCACATTGCTGCGTCAATTGCTGTAAAATCAGTTCTTATATTTTGATCAATGAATGGAATGACAAATGAGATATCTCAAAAGTAAAGGTAATAAAATGAATTTGGTTCGTCAAGAAATAATTTGTCATGTATGTTTTTTTAAATGATTGGTCATTAAAGAATGACTCGTTATTTCTTTTCTTTGCATTAAACTGCTGTTGAGATACTGCTCGTCATTCCTGACATTACAGCAAAAAGTGCATCAACAATGTTAAGTGAGAAGTTTCACAAAACCTTGCAAATCGGGCAAAATTAAAAAACAAGTACCCATTGTGTCTCAGCCAGATTTACTCTGAACTACCACATCCTGACCCTTAAGGGTCAAAGGTCATCAGGCTTTTGACAGACAGCTGTTGACATGTGTGACTGATGTCAAATGGATCAGACTTGTTGAGAGACCGAGGCTCCTTTTCATCAGTGTCATAGAGAGTCTACGAAACCTGAGTCAGGAGTGAGGTCACTGAAGTGAATTCTAGGAATAAGAATTACTCTAAAACAAACCACACGTGAACTCAAGCACACAACTACTACAACTACACCACATCTATTCACTTACAGACATAAACACTTACAGTAGTGCCATGTAAATTAACCAATAGTCATTACCTATCATGGGGATCTGCATCTACGCTACTGATTTGTGAAACATAAGCTACATGGTTGGTGTCTCATAAAGTCCATAAAGTTCAGGTTACTTTAAAAAGTTTGTGATGGGAATTGGAAAGACAAGAATAAATAAGTTAAAACTGAAAATAGATTAGTAAAAGGCAACACACGCCATGGATAACATATTGAGATTTCTCTTTAGTCTTAGTAAACTGATGCTGCAGTTTGCACAGAAAAATGCAGATAAACATAATTTTTAAAAAGCTAGATTTGGATAAAGTATTGGATGAATAGCCCCCAAGCCGATGCAGGTCTGGAATGAATGTCTGAACAGTTGAATCAACCTTCAAAGTAAATAAATAATATGTCTTGGCTTTCTCAAACCAACCAAATTTGGGCTTACGCGACAATAAATCTTCTCTGCCTCCCTTCGTGGATTGTTTATCTCTATGAAATAAGTCACTTTCATGCTTATTCTTCTCCATCCAAACTGTGAGAGATACTGTCTGTTTGTTTACAGATGTTTAGACGCAGAAGCTTCAATGACAACGCAGTTTAGACTGTTCCACCTCAGCCGGCTGACATGCACAGGAATTCATTACAAATAAGTGTCTAAACTAAAACTGAAAAAGTCTTGTATTAAATGGGTTGAATTTCCTCCACCCGTGAGGAAAAAAACACATTGAGGATGTTGAATGAGTGTTTCATGTAAGGCGATACATTTTCCAATCCGCACTATTCCTGTCATTCACCTCCCACAGAGGTGGGCCCCCACTCATACTGGAGCAGTGAGTGTGAGGAGCCAAGGCCAATGCTGTATGTGTCTACAAATTCCTCAGAGCCTACCAGCTAGCTGTGACTTTTAACAGCCGGACTGTTCCAGCGTGCTGCTTTTTGAACCCTCAGTGTACAGTGAAGACGAGAGAAATATTAGTATAGCATTTCCTGCTATCAGTGAGGGTATGAACTTGTTTATGCAAACACAACAGGATTTCCCTCAGTCTAGAATCAAAGTCATTAAAAATCCTCCAGAAAACCCATTTTAACTTCAGAACACTTGGGGGAATTGTATCTTAAAGAATATTACAACTGCCTTTGTAGTTCTCCATCATCTGGAGTGAATCAAAGCTAAAGGGGAACTGTTTAAGAGGCCAGAAAAAGGATGGACCAGATTCAACTTTGTGATCAATGGAATCACAAACAAACAAATCTTACTGAAATTTGAAAACGCACACAAACACACGCACACACACACACACACACAAAACCTGCTCCAAGCTGTGCTCCTCCCATCACCCACTCTTCTCAACGCTCTAAGCCTCTTATCAATGCAATTTGCCATCTCTAAGGCATGAGGCTTAATTCTTCAGTTGCAATGATGATTTGGATCAAGATGTAATTACCTCCACTATGTGTCTTCCCAGAAGAAAAAATTCTGCCCTGTTGCCAGATTAAATTCTCTTTGATTGGGGTTTAGAAATGGGCATGAAATCCTGCATAATTGAATTAAGTCTTGTTTGTATCAAGATTACTTTGTAAGAGACAAGAGCAGAGCAGAGCTAACACCGACGGTCACAGAAGTTGGTAAGTAAATCACGTATGTGGCTTTCAACAGGCCTGGGAGATGCCTCTGAACATATACAGGAGGATTAACAGTCCCTCCTCATCACCATTGGTAAATCAAGTGCAGCGCATGCAACCACACAGAGACTGTTGCCTTTCATTTGCGAAGCAAGTTAAGTTATTGGTTTCTGGGTGAGAAACATGACATAATGAAGAAAAAAATTGTATTTAGTCATAAGTGATAGAGAGGAGAGGAGAAGAGAAAAGAAGAGAGAGGTGTTGCTCTCCACATGTGTTGGTGTGTTGTCCAGATGTGCAGTAAACAACACCGGTGACACATTCAATGGACCATGCCAACCTCTCCTGTGACCCGAGGAGTCTGATCAAAGTAGCTCTTATAAACCTTCATTCCATACAGAGGATTTGTCCCATAACACACTTGTAATGATGTTATAGCGTGAATGCTATACCATTGTCATTAACAGTGTTACTAAAGGCAGGGGACATTTGATGAAACAGTCTCCTCTGCAAATGTGACTACTGTGTGTTCACTGTGGATGTAGGATGTGGTGAACTGCAGCTCTGAGACAGGAAGCATACCAGCAGTATTTGGGAGGCCAGAGCACACATGGTATGATTTAAAGAGCTGCAGTGGTTTGATGTATACTTTTCTTTAACACTGTTTACAAGTGAATGACTGGAAACTTTGGACTGTGACAGTCACAATGAGTCAACCAAGAAAACACGACACACAAACTTAAAGCTGGAAATCTGTCTAACTTCCATCTGGTGATAGGAGCTGAAGGATACTATTCTAGATAATAGAGTTAGTATCTTCCAGCTCCTGTCACCAGATGGAAAACATTTAAAAAATGCCAATTTTAGATTATAACATTTGGTATTTTAGACAGCGCCATCTTGGTTTTTTAAAACCAGAAGTAACCATATTTGGAGAGCAACCAGCAACCTTCACCCATTGGATGGTGCTAGCTGTCAATCAAATGTATCAACGTCCCAATCATACATTGGTTCATCATCTATTTTTTCTCTAAATGGGACCATAGTTCACACAATGCAGTCACTAGTATCAACACTTGAAAAAGAGAATTAGACATTAAACTTTGTATGAAAAAGTTTACATTATGTTAAAAATCTGGTGAATAAAATGATTGTTTTCTCAAACATCTATTGAAACTTACCTCTGCTGGTCATTCGAGGTAACACAGCAGCATTCAGGCACTATAACATTGGCTTCTCTCTCCGGAACCACAGTCCACATCCATTTTTATGTCCAATCTATGATATTTACCCAAAGTCAGAAAATTTCACCAAGTTACACCAGTTCACCAACATAAAAAAAAAAGGTTATTGACATTTCTCAAACAATATAACTTACACTTACACAAAAGGGCAGACACATAACACAACTGATTGGTCATGTACAGCAGAATGTGAAAGTTTCTGACTGCTTATAAATATGGTGATTCGTGGGCACACAGGGACTCCTGGAATTAAATCTGACAAAAGAATTTGTACTTTGGAAAAACACAAGAAAAAGAAAAGAAATTGCCCCTGAATGTGTTGCATGATGGTTGGTTTGTGGCTTTTATCACAAACAAAACACAGGATTCAAAACAAAGCATTCAGATGGCAAAGAGAGTAAAATGCTGATCTGTAACACATTTGTTCTCAGTCGTCGTGACTGCACGCTGCTTTGATGTGACACAAAGAGTTTCATAAAAAGTTTGTAGTTTGAGGCAGTTGTGATACGATGCCCAAATTGAATCATGTACTCGAGATCAAGCGAAAATCATAAAGTTATTTGGAAGCCATATCTAAACACTCACATCTGTACAAAACAATTTGTGACCTAGTAAATCACTTAGATATTATTGTGCTGGCAGATTAAGAATTTCACTTTAGCCCCCAGTAACTCAAGTCGAGGAAGGTTTTTGTTTTTGTTGGCATGTAACAGTCAATCAGAATCTGGGTATTTTTCAGCAGTCCTCTTTCATGAGTATTTTTTTCAGAGGGGGGGGCTGTGTGTCTGTGTGAGCACTGTGCTGCAGGCGCTCACACAGACACTATTCCAGTCCCTCTGCACCTCGGACACAGTGGACTCATCTGAGGAATCACACCGAAACTTTTATTCTTTCATCTGGATTGTTACATTCCTACGGCGGTTACGTTTTTTTACAGCTGTGTGGTGAGGGAACATTGATGTCACGCAAAATCCTTTTTTCAGTCTTAAATTGCAGTTTTGTTCAACTTAATACAGTTTTATAAGGTCTATATTTATCATCTATGCTTAAGGCTGCATGACATATTTTCTCTGTTTAATTCTCCTAATAACTGCATGACTGTTTTGTCTCCTTCATAAATAATGACTAGAATCAATAGACAAATAAACTTGTAAAGGAAAAACTGAGTGATAGGGATTAGTTTTAGCTTTGGGTATAGAGAAATGTTGGACTAGCATTACTTTTATACTGTCTTTTGATTGATCTTTTTTAATTCGTTTAATTCCATCTATCTATCTATCTATTCCTTGTAATAGTTCAATACACTCTTCCTCTCTCTCCAGGTGGGTTTCATTAATGTTTCAGGATAAAGTGTATCCCCCCCCCTTTCTCTTGCATGATTAGCTGAATCCTCATCTCCGTGCACAATGGGTGCGTGTGCCTGTGGCACATCATACATTCTGAGGTGGCTACTGACGGCTCTGTTGTTCTTGGCTGCTGTTCGGCCGACGAGCAGTGACTGCCCCAAATCATGCGCCTGTCACGTCCCGACAGAGGTGCACTGCACCTTCAGATACCTGACCGTAGTACCTGACCACATCCAGCCAGCTGTGGAAAGAATTAACCTCGGGTGAGCACTCACTTCCCTTCCTGTTTTTTTTTTCTCAGAGACGTGGAGGGGGGAAAATTTTATTGATTGATTGAAACCACAGACTGAATAAGCAGAACTAACATTTTAACAGAGAAACACATGTTGGCGACCACCTTTGCAGAGTTAACACTGTGCCACGAAATACACTGAAATAAAAAACATATTGGAAGTGATTACTGTCCATTGAAACTTTGCAGTGTAACTTTATACCTTAAACTGTGGGAAGTTAAGCTATGGTGAGAATGAGATTAACCCGAAGGCAAACGTTGTGGTTTTGTGTATAAGGTCTCACTGGCATGGTTTACTTTGACATTTACTCAAACTGAGCCATCTTATTGGTCACACCTGTGTTTTCCATGGTGTTATTATTTAAAATGGCTGCCATGAAATTCAGCACAGGAGTTGGAAGCACATTTTGGTTAGATCCCGCTTGGGACTTTGTGTGTTCATATACAGTCTGTGTCTGATTCCCATCCATCATCAGTTATAAAGTACCACTTAAAACTTTTACAGTTGTTAGTTATACCTGAACTATAATGACCCTGCGGAATTTCCAATTTAGTTTTACTCAGATTAAACCCAGTGAGAAGTTTAATCAGCCACAGTCAGTAAAAACATCTGTATGGGTGCATGGCCTTAGTTGGATTTTGGTAAATATCAGTTGTGCTTTCTGTGTCTTCCTGTAAGCAGATATGTTTTACTACAACGCCTTTTTTATTCACACATGCTACACTGAAAAATGTAATTCATTACTAACTGAAGAATTTTGGTTGGTACAACTTTCTATTTGCTCGATGGATTGTAGTAATTCTTGACACTGGAAACACCTGTGTGGGTGTGCAGGATTTTAAATGAGACTATTTTCATTCTTCACTCTACAAATAACATGTGGTACATTTCAAACACTAAAGACTCTTTTTCTGCTCCCTGCCTTCAGGTACAATAGTCTGACTGTCTTACGAGAAAATGAGCTTTCAGGACTTGAGAATTTAGAGCTGTTGATGCTGCATAGCAACACTATTGAGAGTATCGAAGACAGAGCCTTCCAAGACCTCAAGTCATTACAGGTAAGTCCTGAACTGACTACAGACATCAACATTGTTTTTAAAAGCCTCTCCAACTTCTCAATCTTTTTCACAGGTCCTCAAAATGTCTTACAATAAAGTCAAAAGACTCAACAAAGGGACATTGAAAGGCCTGGACAGTCTGCAGAGACTCCACATGGACCACAATCACATTGAGTTCATCAACCCAGAGGCTTTCTATGGCCTTACCAATCTGCAGTTGGTCCATCTGGAGAGTAACCACCTCCAGCAGCTCCACCCAGACACATTCATCACACTGAGACACAGTCAAGTGTTCAAGGTGTCCTCAGTGAAAAACATCCATCTGTCAGACAACCTCCTCACCACACTGCCTGCAGATATTTTTGCAGGATGCAGCCAGTTAGAGAACCTTTTCCTCCATGGTAATCCCTGGACATGTGACTGCCGTATGAAGTGGTTCCCGGTGTGGACACAGAGAAACACAGGTGGGCAGTCTGTGTTTGGCTTTGGAACAGTCTAAAAGCATTTATAGAGGTGTAAGGTTATAATGTTTAGAAGGGAAGAGGACCTCTTCTTTCTTAATAAGGAACTCTGTCTTAAACGAACACTCTTAAAACTGTTTGAACCCACATATATTAGCAGCTTTAACAGGACACGTTAATAAGACACATCTGGTAGAATTGCCAAGTAGCCTTAGTCCTTCAAAGGTTTATTCTACTCAGACTTTTTAAGTGGTGTTTTCTCTGCAACAAACTTAGAGGGCATATCTGAAGGAAAAATATATTATTGCAGAAACATTAGTAGAGTCACAGACCATATGTTTTTATCACAAGGGCTACAGGAAACACTAAAGGAACGGGGGAACAGACGTTATTCCTTCTAGTCATGATTTATAGTCAACTCATAAATATACAATATTGTATGGTGATCTTTTATGATTCAAGTTGAACTGATGGGTTTTCTCTGCCTACAGTGTTGAATCTGTAAGTGTTCATGTCTTACATGCAACCAACTAAATGCTATACCACTTGGTTTACATGTTTCCAGGTGTGCTGAAATGCAAGCGGGACAGGAGATATCCAAGAGGACAGCTATGTCCTGTTTGTGAAAATTCTTCATCTTACCACAGCAGACCTCTATCTCTTCTCCCAGAGGATGCCTTCACTTGTACAAAACCCTGGATCCTACCTCAGCTAAAGCAGAAAAACATCAGCCTGGATGAAGGGGACTTTACTCCAGTTTCCTCCAAGGATTTCATTGCCCCATTAGGCTCCATACAAATGAACCTGACTGACCAGTTTCACAGCGATGCCAGTTTATCCTGCACTGTCCAGAGGCCCTCTTCTTTTGAGAATTTAACACAAACCTTGGAGGAAGAGGGGGGAAACAATGTCACTGTGCTTACCACTAGCATGACTACCTATTTGGTGTGTAACATTGACTATGAACATATCCAGCAACTGTGGCAGATCCTGGCCTCCTACAGTGACTCTCCCATGAGGTTAGAGAGAGGTTTGATGCTTGCCAGAAGCCCGGAAATGGTTTACAGATACAGTCAGTTACAAACAAAAGAGGAAGAGGAAAGGATTCACACGAACATTAAGGCCGACATTAAAGCCTCCCCTGCATGGCTGATGCAGGGAGAGGTGAGCTTCCAGCTTGACCGCACTACTACCACTTTCTCCACACTGCATATTAAATACCAGTCTGTGGTCAACCTACGTGTGGAAAACACATCACCTAAGAAGGACCACTACTCCTGGGCCATGATCAAGAGAGATAATCAAACCAAGACTGAGCACACTGTACTTGCAGGTGGGAGTTAAATATGAATTGTTAATAACTGATAGCTGACTGACTGAACATTTCATCAAGCAAAGACAGGGAGCATTGCAAAGGTTTCAGAACTCTAAAGACAAATATGTTTTTAAATATGAAAGCAATAATTAATGTAATCATATATTAATTGTATTTTCTAACATAGGTGGTGTGGCACAATTGAGCTGTCAAATCCAAGGTGAGCCAAAGCCTTTGTTGGAGTGGATATTACCCGATGGAAGTAAAGTCAGAGCCCCTTACTCCAGGGAGGACAGGAGGATCATAATCACTGCTGAAGGGAAGCTCACTCTGCAGGCTGCAGATGCCTCAGATACAGGCCTCTACCAATGCATTGCCACAAACTACCTGGATGCGGATATCCTTGTGTTTCGGGTGACAGTTCTGTCAGCTGATGTAGAAGAAACTGAGGTCAATGGTGTCCAACTCTCAAGGCCACTGGGTGAAAATCTGGTATTCGACTGCAGCTCCTCTGGGAGCCCTGAAGCCTCGGTACAGTGGATCCTCCCTGATCACTCAGTGCTGGACAAGTCTCAAGGAACTAGAAAGGTGTATAAGAACGGGACACTGCTGATTCAGGGTCTCACAGTGAGGGACAGAGGGTTTTATAGATGTTTGGTTGCCAATTACCTGGGAGTTGACCTGCTAGTGTCTCAGGTGACCGTGACTGAGCAAACATCTGAAGAGGTGATAGTTTTAGATAGAGAGGGATCGGGGATAGAAATGGGCTTCAAGGTGGAGCCTAATTTTACAGAAAAGACAGTCAATCTCAACGAGATCCCTTCTACCAGTACCACAGACAGAAATAGTCAGGAATCTAGGACCGTCACCTCAGATCGACCTTTCCCCAGACTCAGGTCACAGGGTAGAGGAGGCGCTGGGGGTAGACTGGGACAGAGAAGGAGGAGGCCAGTCAGCACCAGACGCACCTGGAGTAGAAAGGTCTTCGATAAAGCTTCCAGAAAACTAAATTTAGAGAAATTTGCTGAATTAATGAAGAAGGCTCAAGATGGATCAAGAAAAAAGAGTGACACTGAGAAAGAGAGATTGACATATGAAGACTCTCAACCTGGTTATTCCGGTGATGGTGAACTTGGATCTGGTGTGGGTCATAATGAAGACCATCTTCTTGTTGTGCCAAGGACAATTAAACCTGCTATAGATAATCCACAAGATATTAAAATATTTAGGCAAGATATTCAGACTGAGGCAACAAAAGTAACACAGATAGGTCAGGATCATATTTCAGCAACAACAGGGGCTCACCAAACTGTTGTCATGAAAACCACAGTAAGTGATCACCTTGATATTAGTACAATAACAGAAAATACAAACACACTAACAACAGAGTCGTATATGCAGTCAGACTCTACACCAATCAAGTCCACATTCACTGACTATCCAAGGTTTGTTGACAAGACCGAGTTTTATACCCCTGAGAGAACCAGTAAGCCACCCTCAAACATGCACCCAGTCACTCTCCAACTAACTGTGACCGACACCTCACAAGAAACTCAGCTCCAGTTCTCAGGAGAACAACTCACAGAGCCAGAGACATCAACAGAAGCAATACTTTCAATTACCACTGACCCTAACATTACTCTAATGAGGGACGGCCCAGGAACAGTGGGGCTAGTCATCCATACAGACCCAGAGAGCCAGACCACATTCACAGCTGTTACCACCACAGAGAGACAGAAAGATGAGATCACCTTCCACACCACACAAACAATCAAATCCCCACACCTGCCAGCAGGATCCACCATCATCTCCCGGCAGCAGATCCACATCATCCCACACAAGAACAGCAGGGGTGGGAGCCGCAGGAGGACTTTCCAAGGCCGCAGGAGGATTATAAAGCCTAACAAAATCACTGATATACAGTCCTTCATCAGTAAACTTAAACAGTCTTCAGTGAAAAATGAAGGGAACACTTCGGTGCCATATCGAATTGAGTTAACTACAGGTGAGTAATATTGTTTGGTGTTATTTTGCAACAGATTCTTTCACACTTTCACAGTTTTTTTGTTTGGAGAATTGATCAATATGTGCTTATTGAGCTCATATTTTATGTAACTGTTCCTGTTCTTTTTCTCATTATTTTTTCTCCAGCCTGTAACGAAGACAAAAAAACGACAGTAGCCACTGATGTGCACATGGTCCCACCAACAGCTTCCTCAAGTTCATCTTTACACAGTGCAGAAAGAACTACCACCACACAGTCTAGGGCAGAGGATTATGTTGGGAGTGGCAACATATCCGGACTGAAAAGGCCATTAATCACCCAAAAGCCCTCAACTACAGCACAAACTACACTAGTGACCTTAACTAAAACCCCTGCTGCTATGCCCACCACCACTGCAAACTCACTGGTTGAACCTAAGACTCTATCTCCACCAAGAAACAAAGAGAGCAGAGAGAGTTCATTAGATGATGACTATGGAGATTTATCCTCTGCAGACTTTGTGTTCACAACACGAAGACCCAGCTTTCAACATATAACAACGACCAGTTCTTCTTATTACTCCAGGTCCTCCACTACTGCTGAAACACCACCAGAATCGCAGACTCTACCTTCCCCACCTACTGTCAAGCCAACTTTCAATAAAAATCCTGATGAATCTTTATCATCTGGGTCTGGTGGACTCCCTGATAACTGGGTTGTAATTAGACAGAGGCCTGGTGGGACAAGAGGACGACAGGGGCAGAGAAGAAGGCCATTCGGGGGCAGGAGACACTTCAAGAAACCTGAAGTAAATAAAGTAACTTCTACCACAACTGAACATTCAACTACAGAAACTACATCTTTGGAAACTACAATAGAGACTACCCCACCTCCTCAACGAACTGATTCGCTCTATAAGCCCCTGTACACACTATCGCAGAAAGAGGACAGAACCACAGTAGCTGTTTCTGCTGACCAAATGTCAATGGAGACTGACTTGTTTGAGGAATTGAACTCGAGCAGTTTACCTACCTATACAACAAAGACACCTTTCATGACTATAAAAAATAACCCTACCACCACATCAATACCAGCTACCACAAAAAGGTCTTACACAACAGTTCAGGCTAGAGGCCACAGCAACATCAGACCATCAACACAGTGGAACAATGCTCAAAACACTCACAGGCCACCAATGAGCGGAATCAAACCTACCGTGCAAAGCAGTGCTACCAGGGGCAGTGCAGAAAAGGAACTTACTTTTGACACAGTGACCATTCTTACAGCCGAGCAAGGTTATATCAACACCCCTGCACCATACAGCAACATAGGCACACACAATTCCATTTCTACTGTTTACAATCATGTCACTGGCAATGAAGCTACAAGTACCTATATTGCTGGTTTTGAACCCACTACAAAGTTCATGGCAAGAAAACCAAAGATAGTTGGTGGGAATGCAGCCAGTTTTACCATTCTGTCCAACTCAGATGCTTTCCTGCCGTGTGAGGCTGTTGGAAACCCCCAGCCAGCTACAACCTGGAAACGCTTTTCTTCAACCACAGGTACAAAAACAAAAAACAGTATGAATATCTATGTAGGATACCAAGGTAATCCCAGCTATGTAAATGAGAGTAAATGGGTCAACTATAACTGTAAGGGAGTTCCTAAATAATTTATTTTTGTTGTGAGGAGCTTATTGTTTTTGTCAATATGGTATTTTATTAATATAGTAACAATAAAAAGGTAAGGAAGACAAATATAAGATATAATAATTGTTTTCATTATTCAGAGTCTGTATTTGTGTGACTGAAGTGTATTGTTTTCAATGTGTTTTAGATTATTGTTTTTTGAAGAAATTGTATTTATGTGTCTTTCAGGAAACAGTTTTACTATTAAGGGGACAATGGACAAGTTTGAAGTTATGAGCAATGGGACACTGTTCATCAAGAATGCCAGCATTAAGGATCGTGGCCAATACCTCTGTCTAGCTGAGAATGATCAAGGATCAGATAAACTTCTTGTCACCCTCTTTGTGGTGGCCTACCCATCACGCATACTGGAGCCAAAAATGCGTGAAATGAAATCTCATGCAGGAAATACTGTAGAGATGAAATGTAAAGCAGAAGGTCGACCCACTCCCATGATATCCTGGATCCTGGCCAACCGGACCCAAGTCAGAGGTCAAAAGACAGAGACAGAAAGGGCGTCAGTATCTGCTGAGGGGACTCTGGTCATAGAGCATGTGTCTGTTTATGACAGAGGTCTTTACAAATGCATTGCGAGTAATCCAGCCGGAGCAGATACCGCTACAGTCCGCCTGCAGGTGGTGGCAGCTCCACCAGGCATCACAGAGGAGAAACGACAGCAGCTCAAAGTTAGTGTCAGCGAGAGCCTGTGGCTACCCTGCACTGGTAAAGGCAGCCCTAGACCTGCAATTCACTGGGTCCTTCACGATGGGGCAATGGTGCACTCTAACAGACCTACCCAAGACAAAAGGATATCAGTGTATGAGAATGGAACACTCCACATTAACGATGTGATTTCTGCAGACAGTGGGAGATATGAATGCATTGCTACCAGCTCTACTGGTTCAGAGCGACGAGTGGTGACTCTGGCAGTCGAGAAGCAAGAGTCTACCCCTCAAATAGTGGAGACATCCCAGCGCATGACTGAGTTGTTCTTTGGGGATCAGTTAAGACTGAACTGTTCAGCAACAGGAGACCCCAAACCTAGGATCATGTGGAGGTTACCCTCTAAAGCTGTGGTGGACCAGTGGCACAGGTAAACATACTTTGCTGAGGAAAATATTTGAAGTCAGATAAATAATTTAAATCAAATATTGGTTTCATGAAAATAGAACACCATGAGGCTGTAGTTATTATATTCAGTGTGATAGACATGAAAGCAACAATGGCCATTATATCTGATTATCATTTATTTATTGAGATATTACACCTTAGAGAATCACGTGCCAAGGCAGAGGGTCAGTTTTCTGCAAACATCGTAAAATATAAAGACTTTCCACGAAAAGGTTTATATACGTTTGTTTTAAGTAATTAAAATGCCTGCTAAAAATGGTTTATTTCTTTCATGTCTTTTTATGACTCACACACTACAGTTGTACAATGACATAATTATATGTGCATATAATGTATATTTGTATATTTGTTCTGTGCTAATACAGCATGAATTTCAACGGCTTTATTCAGTGTGCCACGTTTGCTAAATCACAATTTTCTATGAAATGTTTCTACAGGATGGGCAGCAGAATCCTGGTCCTGGATAATGGTACTCTAATTATTAACATTGTGAGTGATAAAGATGCTGGAGACTATCTCTGTGTGGCCCGAAGCAAGAGTGGTGATGATCTCCAACTCATGAGGGTCAGTGTGTCAATGAAGCCAGCCAAGATAGAGCCTAATCCCTATGGCAAGACACAGGTACCCTATGGTAATGATTTGAAGGTTGACTGTAAAGCCTCAGGAGCACCAAAGCCAGAAATCTCCTGGGGTCTACCAGATGGTACAGTGGTCAACAGTGCTCTGCAGTCTGATGCAAGCAGTGGAGGAGGACGAGCACGGCGCTACACTCTGTTTGACAATGGAACTCTTTACCTAAACCAGGTATGCTATTCGTTTACCATGAACACCCACAAAAAATTTAAAGATAATAAAAAAACATTTACATCACTGTCTTGTTTCTCCAGGTTGGTATGTCAGAGGAAGGAGATTACACCTGCTATGCTCAGAACCAAGTGGGCAAGGATGAGATGCATGTACATATAACTGTGGTAACTGCTGCACCCAGGATACGACCAACCAGCCAGACTTATGCCAGGGTGAGGCCTGGAGGGAACATGCGCTTTGACTGCGAAGCACTTGGCGAACCCAAACCCAAGATTTTGTGGATGCTGCCAACCAACGATGTAATTGCAGCATCAAATGAACGCTACCTAATGCATGTCAATGGTTCTCTGGATATCAGGGATGTGAAGCTTATCGATGCTGGGGAGTATGTTTGCATGGCCCGCAACCCTGCTGGAGACAATAGAAAAGTCTATAAGCTTGATATAGATGGGAATCCACCAGTGATCAATGGCTACCACAAGAACAGAACTGTTGTCAAAGATGTAGCTGCCAAATACTCCAGGAAATTAATAGACTGTAAGGCTGAAGGCGATCCCACTCCTAGCGTTACTTGGATTATGCCTGATAACATCTTTCTTACAGCACCATACTTTGGCAGCAGAATTAATGTCCACTATAATGGAACATTAGAGATTCGTAACGTGCGGCCAACTGATACAGCAGAGTTCATATGCATGGCAAGGAATAATGGAGGAGAGGCAGTAATGGTGGTGCAGCTGGAGGTGACCAGAATGCTCAGAAGGCCAATCTTTAAGAATCCTTACAATGAACGTATTGTGTCTCGGATTGGGAAAACCACAGTTCTGAACTGCTCTGCTGATGGACACCCAGCGCCAGAGATAATCTGGACTTTACCAAATGGAACACGATTCACTGGTGAACATGATCATGGCTCTCACCACCACCTAGTCAATGATGGGACTTTGATCATCAACAACCCGCACAAAGAGGATGCTGGTAAGTACCGCTGTGGTGCAAAGAATTTCATGGGCTACATAGAGAAGCTGATAATTTTGGATGTTGGGCAGAAGCCTTACATCCTGACCAGGCCTAGAGGTATCATACGCAGTGTGTCTGGGGAACCTCTCTTCCTTCACTGTCTATCTGATGGGAGTCCCAGACCCAGGATCCACTGGACCATTCCTGGTGGTCACACTCTCACTCAGCCTCAAGTCCTTGGGCGCTACCAGTTGTTAGAGAATGGTACTTTAATTCTGCATGATACTACTCTCCACGATCGAGGGAACTACATATGCAGAGCTTGGAATGATGGCGGGGAGGCAGTGCTCACTGTACCTGTTGTTATTCTCGCTTACCCACCAAGGATCACAGCAGGGCCTCCTCCACGTGTAAGCGCAGTAACTGGGACACCTATCCAGCTCAACTGTGCTGCCAATGGAATCCCCAAGCCAGAGATAACCTGGGAGCTGCCCGATCATTCAGTTCTATCAACGGCAGAACAGGGTCGGCCTATGGGTAGTGAGCTGCTCCATCCTCAGGGGACACTCATTATCCAGAGACCCAAAGTCTCAGACTCAGGCACATACAAGTGCCTAGCCAAGAACCACCTAGGCACAGACTCAAAGGTCACATATGTACATGTACAATTTTAGACTATTGAAACAGGACAGAGGTTCATCTGAGTGTAAATAATAACAGATAGAGAAATTTGCATTGGTGATGTACAGTATAAGCATTCTTACTTCTGGATTTGTCAGGATGATAGCTTGTGGAATATTATTTAAAAATGAAATAGATAAAAAATAGAACAAATAGAGAAAAGAAACAGACGTTTTAAGACATTTAACTGGAATCCCCAGCCTTGGATTATAAAGTTGTTATTTTTAACTTTTTAAAATTGTACGTGGTTCTCAATTGGAGTGGTTCTCTTGAGAGGAAAAGGGTCAGTGCATAGAGTCAAATGATTTCTTTTCTTAGGATACAATTATAACGTATATAATGGGGAAGAAATGTGTAGCAGATTGCAATAGAGAAAGAACACTCTTTATTTAAGTACCAAAGATGATTGTACTAGTAGTTAATTGAATTGTACAGTGGAAGAAGATG